TAAGCTGGGAAAAAGAAAACTGGAAAGTTCTAAACTGTTTCAGACACAGGCAGTACAATTCTAAATAACCCATGAGTCACAGAAGAAATCACAAAGGAAATGAGAAAGAAATTTTAATTGAATGATAATGCAGATATGCCATATCAAAACCTGTGGTATACAGGTAAAGCAGTACTTAGAAACATACATTACCTTAAATTCACACATTACAAAAGAAGGGCTGAAGTCAATAATCTAAATTTTCCTGTCAAGAAACTGGGAAAGAAGTGCAAGTTCAAAAAATGGAAGAATACAAAAAAAGGCAAGCAAAAGTCAGTGAAATAGAAAACAAATGTACAATAAAATCAATGAAGCCAAAAGTCATTCCATTGAAAACCTCAAAAATATTGATAAACCTTAGTAGACTAATCAGAAAAAAAAGAACATATATCAACAACGTTAGGAATAGAAAAAGGGACATCGCTCATATTTTGCGTCAATCTTTCATAAACTTCCAGAGTCTATAGAAAAAGGGAACATATCCCAATTTGCTTTTGAAGCGGTATAACCCTGACACCAAAACCTTTCAAGGATATTACAAGAAAGAAAAACCAGGGGCCGAACTCCTGTGAATGTACATGTAAAATTCCCAGACAAAATGAGCAAATCTAGCAATATATAAAACTGATCATGCATCACATCTGATTTGGGTTTACTGCAAAAATACAAGATTGATTCAGTACTTGAATACTAATCAATGCAATTCACCACAATCAACATAGAAGGAGGAAAATCACACGATCATCCAGATAGATGCAGGAGAGACCGCTACAAAATTCAATACCTGTTCATGATTTAAAAAAAAAAACTTTAGGGCCAGCCCTGTTGCCTAGTGGTTAAGTTTGGTGTGCTCCTCTTCAGTGGCCCAGGTTTGGTTCCCGGGCATGTTATCTACATCACTCATTGGCAGCGACCCACATATAAAATAGAGGAAGATTCTCACAGATGTTAGCTCAGGGTGAATCTTCCTCAGTGGCGGGGGGCTGGGGGGGGACTGAAAACCAAGAATAGAAGGGTACATCTTTAATAAAAAGTATTAACAAAGACCCTATCGTAAACCTCTCAATGATAAAATACTGAAATCATTCTCCACGAGATGAGGAATGAGACAAGTATGCACACTATCACACCTCCATTTCATTATCCTGCTCCCAGCCAGTGTGATAAGCCAAGAAAATAAAAGACAGGATTATAAAGAAAAAAAATGCTGACAACACAATTCTGTACAGAGAATTAAGTGAATTTAGCAAGGCCACGGAATACAGTCAATGTGAAAAAAAAGTCAACTACATGTTTCTGAATACAACAAAAAATTTTTTCAAAAATACATCATTTAGGGGCCGGCCTGGTGGCATAGTGGTTAAGGTCGGGCACTCCGCTTTGGCAGCCCAGGGTTTGCAGGTTTGGATCCTGGGCGCAGACTTACATACTGCTCATCAAGTCATGCTGTGGTGGCGTCCCATGTACAAAATAGAGGAGGATGGGCACAGATGTTAGCTCAGGGATAATCTTCCTCAGCAAAAAGAGGAAGACTGGCAACAGATGTAGCCCAGGGCCCATCTTCCTCACCAAAAAAAAAAAAAATATATATATATATATATATATGTCATTTATAATAGCATAAGAAATCAAATAGCTTGAAATAGATATATTAAAAGATATGCAGAAGGTTTACATTGAAAACAATAAAACATTCTTGAAAGAAATTAAACACCTATGTAAATGGAGAGAGAGATCATGTCCATGGATTGGAAAACAATTTTGTAAGGATACCAATTCTCTCAAATTGATCTGCCGGTTAAACTCAGTTCTAAGGGAAATCCCAGCAGGTTTATTTTCGTGAAAATTGCCAAGCTGATTCTGAAGTTTGTATGGAAATGCAAAGTGCCAAAACAGCCAAGGCCATCTTGAATAAGAATAAAATTGGAGTCTTCCATTCTCAGATAGCCTCCTTAACTTTCAAACTTTTAGTAACACCTTTTTGCAGACATGACTGATAAATAGCACGTACTTGCATTTTGTTTTAGGACCGTTTCTGAAAGTTTTGTCTCTTAACTATGGAATATTACACCATTAGTGTTTTTTTATCTTAACTTCTATCCTTGTGTTCTCTGGTTTATTTTATACCTCGTCCTTCTCCCTCCCCTTGGTTTTTTGTTAGTTTTTTAAATTTCCTGGAATGGTGGAGTGGCTATATTTTCTCTGGTCTTTTGAAGTTATATATCCTGGCTTTTAATTCTACAGATGGTCTCATATGAATTATTTTTTAGATGGAATTTAATATTTTGAGTTGCCTTTTTGTCCACCAAGAAGATGGGCTTTATTTCAGTTTGAGTAGTTTGGTTGGATGGGCTAGGGAACAGGTCTCTGAATCCCCAGCCTGAGAAGCAGAGACGTTTAGAACACCTCCCCTGGGTGTCAGGAGGAGGGTCTAGGCTGGCCTGTGTGGCAGCATGAGAGTACAGTGTTTAGGTCTGCCTCTTTGCCAGCTGCCCCTTCATTTCAATTTAGGGCTTCTAGGCCTTTTCTGGGCATGGTTCCCAGAAAGTCCCTCTGCTGCTGCCGCTGCCCCGATCAGGTTTCTGGATCTGTTAATAATAGACAACAGTGGGGGAAGGGCTAGGATCATTATGGAAATAGGAACAACTAAACCAGATGGACAGTTCCTGTGCCCAGGGCCTGTGTGTCTGCTCCCTTCCTGGATGTAAACAGCATCCTTCAGCGGGCGTGTCTTCTAAGCCACACTTTGGAGCCACTCTAACCTTTCGAAAGTCTCCAATGGCCTGTCCCAAAATCAGAACACAAGATCTGGGGAGAACTAGTGTGCTTATGAGAATACTGAAACAGAATACTTGAGATCTGGGCTCGCAGAAAATCCAGGATGAGAGAGAATACCTCTCACAGAACACCCAGAAGGGAAGGAGGTTGGGCAGCAATTAGGGGAGGCAAATGGTGACTCAGAAAGAGGCAAACTGTGTGTAGTCCTGGAGTGTAGAAGAGGAGTGAGGAATGAGAAGGGGAAGCATGGAAAAATAAGGACGTGAGGTGTTGGGGAAGTAGAAATGGGAGAGCAAGACGAGCATGTGAAACAGGGCCTCCATTAAGTAAATCTGAAATGAGCACAGTTTAAATCTTGGTGCCCCCTAATCTTTCTGTTCCCCAGGAAGGGCCTCTCTTTTCTGCCTCCACTCCCCGCATACTCCTCTTCCTTTATCAAAACCTGCTCACAGGGGCCGGCCCCACGGTGTAGCGGATAAGTGTGTGCGCTCCACTGCTGGCGACCCGGGTTCGGATCCTGGGTGCGCACCGACACACCGCTTGTCAGGCCATGCTGTGGCGGTGTCCTATATAAAGTGGAGGAACATGGGCATGGATGTTAGCCCAGGACCACTCTTCCTCAGCAAAAAGAGGAGGATTGGCGTGGATGTTAGCTCAGGGCTGATCTTCCTCAAAAAAAAAAAAAACCTGCTCCCAGTAGAGTATGGTAAACTCAACCTAGGAATAAATTATGAAAGACCAATAAGGCTTCAGAAATTATCAGTTACAAAAATTTGAAACCCTTTTCTTGTAAAATATAACAGATATAGAAAACTACATAAAGAAAATGTATAGTTTAATAAGTTATTATAAAGGGAAGACCCTTGTTAGCGCCCAGGACCAGAAACAGAACTGGCCAGCTATTCCAGAAGCCAGCCTTGTGCCCCATCCCATCACAACCCCCCCCTCCTCCCCAAACTAACCACTATCCTGACATTTATGGTAATCACTTAGGAGGATTTTATTTTAATGGGACTAAAGGTTTAGCTATAAATAATCACTAATGGCAGAATCTTAGGCAGCTGAGGGGTGTTGTGGGGGAGCCATGGCAAAACCACGTCATTTCATACAGTTACTTCCCTCTGTGCCTGTGATTAAGAGACACCGTACTAGAAAGGATCCCACAGAGGTCCAAGCACAGGGCTGTGCCCTATGCCCTCACTTACCGTCACCCTCTGGTCCAGAAAGAGCCATACCCTGCAGTCTTCCCCCAGGTAGAGCAAAAGCAGGTCCCAGCTCACAGTGCTTAGGAGAGTACAAGGGACTGGTTGTCCCTGCTGCTGACACAGGCATCCAGGACATTGCCCTGGGCCTCAGTTTCTCACTGTGAAGCAGGGGGCCAAAATAAAGCCCTTTACAATCTCCTATTCCTCTCCCAACTTGGTCCTCTTTCCTCAGTCTAGGTTTGTTTCATCTGCCCATTTATTCACCCTGTAAGAAGCTCCTGACGTTCTCTTCCCCAGTTGGGTGTCTTTCCAGTCTTGTGCTCCTCTTCTGCCCTCGATTCTTACATATTATGAGTCTGTTCATCTCTACACACACCTTTACAAACACGCAGATATGTCCTTGCATATTGAGGGGCTGAACAAATGCTCATAGAACCAATGAATGTAAAGGAAGGATAAGTATATTGTTTCATACATTCACGTATGCCTTCCTTCAATATTTAGCGAGTGCTAAATCTAGCGAGTGCATAGATACTAACCTGTCCCTCTACACTCCAAGATCATTCCTCTCCACTCTTTCTTCTCATTTGCCTCCATTCCCATCCTATTTCTGTTTTCCTTTCCCTGTGCCACAGAACTAGACCGAGTGCCCTGCAAGGCAGGATGCATAGACACAGAAGCAGGCTGATGGAAACAGACACCCTGGAAAGGAGCCAGATGAAATAAGGGCAAAGACAGCCGAATAACATGCAGAGAGAAACGGACCAGAATGAAAAGCAGTGATTCATGGAGCACTGCAACTCAGACACTCCTTGAGTTTCATTTTGAGAGCTGCTGTGGGATTGGGGTCAGTGAGGGCTGGCATCCAGGTGAAGGGCAGCCAGGCTCCTCCTCCCTGGAGACGTGGTGCCCATCAATCCCTCCCCTTAATCCTTTTCTCTCCACCCCACTGACCAGTGTCCTGGGCCTTTAAGAGCTCACACCTCTCCCCACCCTACTCGTTCCCTCTGGCTGTAACTGCTAGTGACAGCAGCAAGCTGCAGTAGAAGAGGGAAGGAAGCAAAGGAGTACGAGAGGAGCAAAAGAGAAAAGGAGCCTGGCTGGGTTTCCTCGTCCCACAGTGGAGAGCATCGCGGAGCACAGACGCAGGACTGCTACCCTGCCCACGGTAAGGGCCTGGAGGCTCTGACCAGCCTCTGCTCCAAGCTCTGCCCTCCACATGCTATCTACTCTGCTTAAATTGTACCCTGGACTCCTTTGCCTGAACAGGTCTAAAAGGCTCCACCTTCCTGGTTCTCTCTAGGTTATCCTCTTTGACTTACGGTTTTCCCCTTGCTGTGTCAGTCACCTCTGTATATGGGGACCTCTTAGCTACCCACCCTAGTAAGGGAAGAGAGAGAATGGGAGTAGCCATGCTCTAGCTAGTTGGACGACAACTTCCAGATCTGTAACAGGAGGGAGTTCAGGGTTTCCCAGACTTGCCTGTGTGTCGGGGGTGCTTGTGAAAGATAAATATTCCTGCGCCCCATCCTTGGAAATGCTGATCTGGTCGATTATGAGTGGGGCTAAGGAATCTCTATTTTAAGATACTCTCCAGGGAATATTGATAGAGCCAGGAACCTCCAGATTAGATATGTTATAAAAGAGTCTTCAAGCTCTAACGTTCTGAGGGCTATGACCTATGACCTATGACCAGAGCCATTCTGTCCTCCTTATGTGAAGTAGGTCAGGAATAATCCTGCTCAGAAGCAAGAGAGCAGACAAAATGATTTTCTTCCTTCCTGCCCCTCAGAGAGGCCTGAGACACCCTGAATTCCCCTGTAATGCCACTGGCACCACTGGCAACTCTGCCGAAGTCCATCTCTAGGTGACATAAGCCACCTGGAAGTTGAGGAACAAATCTTGCTCCGCAGCCCTGGCCACTTGCCACCTTACTTGTGTCTCTGTTTTCTTATCTGTATTATAGAGGTAGTTTTCCGTATCCTCAAGGATCTCCACATACGTGTCTGGGAGTAGACAGTTAAGACCCAATCTTTCTTACTCCCAGTCTTCGTCCTCTGCTCTTTGCCCCTTGCTCTTGCTCCCACTCCCAAATCCTTTGTCCCTCCTCTCCTAACTTCACTTGCATCAGCTGTGACCATCCTTCCCATCCTACCTTCAGACACCAGAGGAAACACCAAGACCTAGAACACCTAGGTTCTAAGTGCCATTCTCTGGGCACTTTGTTTGGTCAGTCTCCTAGGATACAGAGGAAAGTGAGGCTGAGCAGAGGAATGTGCTACTGAGTGTCTGAGCCCAAGTGTCCTCCTTCCTGGACCACAGTCTCAAATCCTCACAGAGGACGAGAACCAGAGCTATTGGGAACTGGAGGAGAAACGAGAGGAAGAGGTGATGGGGAGAAGGGATGAGAAGAAGGATGAGAAGAGGAGAGCAAAGAGAGGCTGTCTTAAGTGAGCAAATAGGGAGGCAGTGAGAGGAATCAAGAGAGAGAAGAGTGAGCTGGGGAGAAAGGAAAAGGGAGGGTCAGGCAGAGGATGGGGAAAGGAAAGAAAATAGGAAGAAAGAAAAGAAAGGCTATTGAGTGGGATTTGGTGGGAACAGAAATGATGGAGGAGAGAGGACCAAACATCCATGTCCCTTGTTGATTCTTAGCTCTGCTTGAACCTGCTTCCTAGAGAAAGCCCTTTCTAAGGGCAGAGTCTTGGTGAGATCTCCGAGCTGGTCATATAGAGACCTTGGTTCTAGTCTCAGTTCTGCCAGTTAATTCATTAGGTGACTCCGGCAGTTCAGCTAATCTTTCTACTCCTCCGTCCCCTTCTCTATAACATGAAGGCCAGCTCTGACTTTCTGTGGCTCCCTGAGTTGAAATTGGCCCTCTTATGGCCACACGTCACCTGGATACAGGTTTAAGATCGTGCTTCAGGAACGGAAGCAGGACTGGAAGAACACGCCAAGCCCTGGGGTTGGAAGAGTTTGACCAAAGAGGATAAAATAATTTTCTAAGACTGGTTTGAGAGGAGGTAGGCTCCAAAATAGGGGTGTCCTGGCACTTGGGCTCTGTTCTCAGGCTTCCCAGGTTTCAGGACATCATTGTGAGGCTCCTGGACACAGGCATGAGAGAAGATAATTCTGTCTTCTCCCAGGACCAAGGCCTACCCCATCCCAGAGTCCCTGTGCCCCAGACAGGGGAGCTGAAGTTCAGAGAGAAGATAAGGCAGGATGTTGGCAAGGGGATTGGACTTCATTCCCACACTGACCCCACCCCCACCCAGAGCCTGAGGACCTGAGGCATTTAAGAGGGACCTGTTACTTTCTACTTCCGTCTTCATAGCTTTTGCAAGCTTCAGATTCCAAACTGTGCATCTCCACCCAGAAAGGCAGAAATGCTGTTCTGTCTCCCAGGAAGCACTCTGGGGCCCTTCTTCCATCCAGAGGCTTCTGGTCTCACCCAGGCTCACATATTCAGCCTCAGCCAGCAAAACCTTTTCTTCTTGGAATTGTTCAGGATTCTGTCTCTCCTGAGAGCTGCCTTGAGTTATCTTTCCCAGTGAGGTACAGGCTGATTCCCAACCTTCCCCTGTCCCTCTGGGCACCTGCGCCTTGCTACTCCTTTAGAAAGTCTTGGGCTCTAGGTCCTGCAGTCAGGGAAGCCGCATTCTCAGTGACTTCCACATTCTTCCTAAAGACTTAGTCACCCCTGGGTGGCTTTATAGGCTCTTCCCACTAGAGGGAGACAGGGCAGTAATACGCTGTGTGACCCCAGATAAGTCAGATCACATTTCTGGACTTCTGCTTTTTCACTTGTAAACTATAGGGAGTTAAACTGCATGATGTTTTCATGGAACGCTAACTGAATGATTGCTTTAGACATTCTTTTGGTTTTTCAGATGTTCACCATCGTCAAAATTTTAAACTTGTCAATTAAAAAACACAACATTGCAATTCAAGTCTAGACCCTTTGCTTATACAAAAGGCTAGAGTTTTCTGTTTCATAAGCTTTGCCAGTTTCAGAATGATTTGGTCAAGAGTTGAGTATTTCTTATAGGGGCAGAGCTAGAATCAAAGTGGCCACGTATCACACCTTCTAGTTCTTTTCAAGGCAAGTTTGTTGTTATCTACTAGCACAACTTACCCAGGTCCTAAATTAGCATATATCTTGAAGGAGGAACGCTTTTTAATAGGTAAAGAAAAAACTTGAAAATGCAGTTCTGAAACTATGTAATTTATCTGGTCCATTAAAATTGTGAGAATAACTGTTATGAAAAGGAGTATAAAATATGCTTTACCATGTGAGGGTAGAAGAAGATGGCTTATTTAGCTAAGTACAGCACTACGTGTTATAGAAGAGACAAAAGAAACGCTCTGCCCTAGCCCTTCAGGAGCCCTAGCATGGGGAGGGCTCCCAGAATAGGGAAGGGATGATTCCACCTGGAGAAGAGAAGGCTAGGATGTAGAGAGATTCCAGGTTCTGAAAGGGGGCAGCCAGCAAGATGGTGGTTCCTAATAACAGGAGCTGAAAAGTGTGGCACGGGGTTACCTAAGGGATTTGGGGGTACTGGGAAGGAGGGAGTATTTGGCAGAAAACCCTGCTTTAGCCCTCTCTGGAGATGGCTGTGGGAAACAGCAAATGTTCTGGAATCAGACATACTTGGCTTTAAATTCTGAATCCCTGTGTGACTTGAGGCAGATTTCTTAGCCTCTCTAAGCCTCAGAGCCACCAAACTCAGAAGTACAAAGAGCTACAGACTCTGTAGATGAAGGGACTGACACATTGCGAGCAGTCAGGAAACACTGGTTTCCTTCTCTTCCTCCCTTGATCTGTGATTCTAAGACTGCTGAGATTAGCCTTTTGCTCCTCCTTGCTCCTTTAGGTGACTCTAGCACCAGCTGGTGGAGCAGTGGGTGATGGCGTCCCTGCTACAAGGCCGTGAGTACCCCTGCAGGAGAAGAGGGTTTGGGGAGACAGCCCAGGGACAGGGAGGAGGCTGGACCCCTGTTCCCGAGCTCCTCCTGGGCCCTCACCCTCCCCACCAGCTATCCAGCCCCCGCTTCTCCTGGCCCAGGGCTGCCCATCAATCAAGACCTGCTGCTGATGCAGAAAGGCACGCCAATGCGCAAGGTGCGGTCCAAAAGCTGGAAGAAACTGAGATACTTCAGACTTCAGGATGATGGCATGACAGTCTGGCATTCCCGACAGGCCGGAGGCAGTGCCAAGCCGAGCTGTGAGTGATGTGGATAGCTATGGGTGGGCACGTGGGTGCGTAGGACCCTGAGGAGCCCCACAGCCTGAGAGCAGGGGAGGGACCAGGGTCCTACAGTGTGCCCTTGTGCTGTCCCACTTGTGTCTATGTCTGAGTCTGTACAGTGGAAATTATAATGGAACTTGCCTGTAAAGGCCGTTATGACGATTAAATTAGTTATTGCACGTAGTAAAGGGCTTAGAAGAGTCCTGGCATATAATAAGGCCCAGTAACTCATAGGTTGTGTCTTGTTATTCTTATTATAACAAGAGCATGATCTCAGGCATCAGACTGCCTGGATGAAAGCCCTGGCTTGCCACTTTCTAGCTGAGTGGCTTTGGACAAGATACTTAAACTAAGCTTCAGTCTCCTCATCTGTAAAATGGGGATTCAACAGTACCTGCCTAGTAGGTTACAGAAACTCAATAAGTTGATGTATAAAGCATCTAGCCTGGGACCTGAAACCAGGATGCGTTTAATAAATGTTAGCCATAATGAGGAATATTTTAAAATATCATACTTGCATCATAACACTGTGCATCCTATTGGCCAAACACTTTATGGTCCCTGTAAACATGTGATCACGGGACACATCTAAGAGAGTCTACTTTAGAGACATAATCGAAGCTCACGATCCATACCACCCCCGGCCAAGGAAAGGGGATGGACGAATTCCTCTGGCTCCCTCCTAGACCTCTGGAAAGAGGACGCCCTCAAACCTGGAATGGGAGAATTGAACTTGGGCATATCGTGCTTTGGAGTAACTGCTTCAGCCCTGCAAGTGTGTTTCCATTTGTCAGCCCTGCCAGTCCTCCTGTGATCACCATGGGGACTGGCCTTGGAAGGGACCATCCTTTATCTAAGATGAGGACACTGAGGGGTTAAGTCATTTTGGTCGGTGTCACACTGCCAGCCAGTGCCTGGAAGTCAGGTCTTGCCACTCCCAGCACAGGCCGCTTGCCATGCTGCCTATGAAAACAGCAGTGACTCCTGTGGAATCCTGAATCCCAGGCGTCTGCCTCTCTGTACTAAGGCTTCTGGGGTTTCAGCCTGTGGAAGGAGGAGGAGGGATTCCTCCTTGCTATGGCTTCGCAGAAAAGGGAGTGCTGGCCCTTGAACCTTAGCCCCTGCAGTCTGGCAGTCTCTCTTCCTCAGCGCCCCCACTCGCTTCTTCTCTGGCAGTCTCAATCTCTGACGTGGAGACGGTGCGTGAGGGCCGTGAGTCTGAGTTGCTGCGCAGCCTGGCAGAGGAGTTCCCCCTGGAGCAAGGCTTCACTGTCATCTTCCATGGCCGCCGCTCCAACCTGGACCTGGTGGCCAACAGTGTCGAGGAGGCCCAGATCTGGATGCAGGGGCTCCAGCTGTTGGTAGACTTCGTCACCAGCATGGACCAACAGGAGCGGCTGGACCAGTATCAGCAGGATAGAGTCAGAGTGGGGGCTGAGGGGTCACTGAAGAAGCCAGATGCTGCAGGGCTAGGGACAGGTGGGAGGGGGTGCAGAGCTAGGGAGGCCCAAGAGTCCAGATGGGGTGGGCAGGGGCAGCTCAGGCCAGTGGGAGGCTGAGGATACTGAGAGAGGAATGGAGGCTTGGGATGGCAAAGACATAGCCAGGCAGAGTTTGAGCATGAGTCAGGATTGGGGGAAGGGACAGTGTGAGGCAAAGGATCAAACAAGGAGCTGATCCTGAGGGCTGGACAGAAGATCTCAGTGACATTAACTACATAGGAGTGGGAAGCAACCCCTTAGAGGGCTTAGTGGTGTCGACTCACTTCGAGTTACCTAGATCGTATTCACCTTCTAGACCAGTTCATTCATTCATTCATTCATTCATCATCTATTGAGCAGAGTGTATCAGGCACTCTGCCAGGCTTTAAGGGTACAAAGATTAATGAGACTCAGATATTGTTTTAGTCAGTGGAGAGGATGGAATTGTGTAAATAATCTAAGTACCATGGATTTATAACCAGATGTTATGGTACTTAGATTATTTGTGCGTGTTCAAAGGAAGGAGAAATACTTAATTCTAGCTGAGACAGTTCTGAGAAATCTTCAAGGAGGAAGTAGGATTTGAGCTAAGCCTTGAAAATGAGTAGAATTTGAAGATGAAGAGAGGAGGAGGGAAAGGCACCTGAGGGAACAGCATGAGTGAAGGCCCAGAGATAGGAAACTGAAGGGCAGAGAGCAGGGGGTGATGAGTCCAGCTAAAGTACAGGGAGGACCGAGATGTGCTGAGAAGGCTGGGTTGGGGCCAGATCATGGGGGCAAAGGAGATCTTAACTTCTATGTTAAGGAGTTTGGGCTTCTTTCTTCAGGCAACAGGGAGGTCTCTGCAGGCACCTGAGCCATGCAGGAACAAGATAGATTGGTGCTCTGGGGAGATTCTTCTGGAAGCTTACATGGAAAATGAATTGGCATGGGAGAGAGACTGGTGGCAAAAGTAGGGGAGAGATGTCAGTGGACAAACGTGCACACACATCTGCACACACAACACACCCACAGTGCTTTTGCCTTGACTCAGACCTGGATGGCTGAGTGACTGGTTCCAGCGTGGAGACAAAAACCAGGATGGTCGAATGAGCTTCCGAGAAGTCCAGCGATTACTGCACCTGATGAATGTGGAAATGGACCAAGAATACGCCCTCCAGCTTTTCCAGGTGAGTCTTCTGGGGAAGGATTTGCAGAAGCCAGCCAAAGCCACAGTCTCACTTGGACAGAATTACTCTGACCCCACCCAGCAACACTCACTTGTGGAACCTCTCTTGTGTGCCTTAGCATGATGCCAAGCTCAATGGAAAGTGTAGAGCGTGGTTCTTACCCTTCAGTCTTGCGGGAAAGGTGATTCATAATCTTATGAAAGGTAAATAATATGTTATTACGTCAGACCTCAAGGACCTCTCTGTCCATGGCCAGAATTTCACAGGTGCCTGGTACAATGGAAAACTCCAGCTGGAATGTGGGTAAATAGGAGGAGGGATCTTCCCAAATGGACCTTTGGGGGCATTTAATTCTTTCTAGATGAAATTTTTCTCTAGTAGCAAATGGTATGGCTGAAATGTTGCTTTTTACTTACTGAAGTGGCTTCTTCTATGAACCCTAAATGTTAGGAGTTCTGTGGGAGTTTTCTGGAAACATGTTTGGATCCATCTGTCAGTATGATTGGGCAAGTCAAAGCCATAAAGTTTGCTGTTAAACGGTTCGTCTTCTCTCCCCTACCTCGTCTCTTGCAGGCAGCAGACACGTCCCAGTCTGGGACTCTGGAGGGAGAAGAATTTGTAGAGTTCTATAAGGCATTGACTAAGCGTACTGAGGTGCAGGAACTGTTTGAAAACTTTTCGGCTGATGGGCAGAAGCTGACCCTGCTGGAATTTGTGGATTTCCTCCGAGAGGAGCAGAAAGAAGGAGACCGTGCTTCTGACCTTGCTCTGGAACTTATCGACCGCTATGAGCCTTCAGAGAGCGGTAAGAGAACCAGGGTGGAGAGTCCCCAGACATAGGGGTGGGGAGGAGGACCATGATTAGAAGGGCCCAGAGACAAGCAGCCTTCTGCCTAACTCAGGGAAGGCTGAGTCCACCCCCACCCCAGCTCCCTGGCCAATCGTCCTCATCTCATTCAACCACTCCTCTGGAAGGAGAGCCGCCATTTCCTGCCCACATAAGATAAGAGTCTTTTCTGTAATGCTGGATCTCTCAGGAGGAAGAACATTCCATAAGTCCCCTTTCCTCTACCATGCTCATGTTTTACATCCTTCACCTCCAGGAAGTTCCTCCTGATATCAACCACTGTCCTCGGTGAAAATGGAAAATCCTTGGTCTCTTGCTTTGGCCTCTTCCCCTCCAGTGCATATGATTCATTTTCCTCTAGTTCCCTCCATGGTTCCTGTTTGCTGTCTCTTTCAGTGCTGGCTCTCTGCCCTTTCCTGGGCTTTCTCCAAATTCTCCAAGTGGTTCTTGAGTCTATAAGCGCCTGAGCCAGGAAGCTAGTCAGCCTCTGGCTGAGGGGGATGAGAAGGAGGCCAATCATTCAGCTTTTAAGAAGCACAGCTACAAAACGCCCTCTCTGCTCTCAAACCTTTCTCCTTGCCCCTTCAGCGGACACCTTCCTGCTCTCCATTCCCTTCAGAAATTTATTAATAATAAATGGTTTACAAGGTACTTTCATATCCCTTACTTCATTTAGTCTGCGCTACAACCTTGTAACTCAAAAGCAATAATCTTTATTGGGCCTTTGCTAAGTATCCCATAATGTACTAATATCGCTACATGTCTTTTCTCTTCTAATCCTTCCAAAGGCCCATTAACGTGGGTTCTCTTATTAAGTCAGTTGTGCAATAGAGGAAAACTGAGGTTTAGAAAGATTAAATGACTTCCTCAAAGCCGACAGCTAATGAGAGGAGGAATTGAGATTCAAACCCAGGTCTTCTGACTCTTACCTGATGCCTCTCTTGAGAATGAGGATTAGAGATGACATGAGATGAGAGCTGGACAAGTGACCCAGGTTGCCTAGGTCTCAACTCCCACTCCCTTTCATTCACTCATTCACTCACGACTTCAGTTAATGCTTATTGAGTACCTGTAGTGTACCAGTACCTATGCTAGGCACCAGAGATACAGTAGTAGGTCAGACAAGGACACTGCCCTCATGGAACTTAGAGTCAGACAGAAAGTTGGAATGGCTGATTCCAGATTCATATGGGTGCTCAGAGAAGAAAGGAGGCTGTAAAGCACTCATTTCAAAAAACTAAATAGAAGAGGAATGTCAGAGGGTTAAGAAATAAGACCTTCCATTCCCAGTGCAGGATCCAGGATACATCAGTTACATTTATTCTAGCTCTCACTCCTCTTGGTGCCCCCTCTTCCTGCACTCGACAATCAGATACTGTACTCTGGCTGCAGAGTGTGGTATCTAGTCAGGAGACCTGGGCTCAAGTCCCCACTCTGCTTCTTACTGAGTAACTTTGGGCAAGTCGCTTAACCTATCTCAGACTCAATTTTCTCATTTGTAAAATAATTTGTGGCCAAATGAAATAATGCACATGAATAGTATCTGGCAACTGTGGACTTACCCTAGAGATTTGAGTTATTATTGTCAAGAATGAGACTTCCTGCCATTCTCCACCACCTCCAGGTCTTGCCAAACCTGGAGGAAGGAAGTTGGGCATGAGAATCAAGTTGTTCTGCCTCCCAAGGGAACCCCGCTGCAGCAATATTACCCTCAGTGAGATTGCACAGCCCAGTGGTGTAGGATGTGGCTCTGACACCTGGCTGGCTAGGGTCAAATCCCAGCTCTTTCACTTACTAGTTGTGTGACCTGGCATGAGTTACCTAACCTCTCAGGGCAGATTATATTACATTATCTCATGGTGTTGGTGAGAACATTAAGAGAGATGCTACAATGTCCTTGGCATAGAGCAAGTGCTCCATAACTGTGAGTCACTGTTGTTATTATACGAAGCCCGTGCTGAGATGGGTGAGGGCTGTGGAAGGAGTGATAGGGCCCTGCCCTCAAAGAGAGTGTAGTTCAAGGGCGTGTTGGACAAAGACTCCTCAAAACACCATATGGGAATCGACGATAGGAAGAAACCCTCAGCTCATAGTTGGCAGCAGCTACATAGCCCAGGGAATAAAACACAGGTACCTTGGTTGTGTCACTAACAAGCCTTTGATTCTCTCTGGGCCTATATAGTTTTCCCATCTATAAACTTAGCCCGTTGGACTGAATACTGTGCTGTCCATTATGGTAACCATGAGCTTTATGCGACTATTTAAATTTAAATTAACTAAAATCAAAATTTAAACTTCAGTTCCTCAGTCACACAGCCACATTCCAAGGCTCAGTGGCCGTATGCGTCTAGAGGCTACCATGTTGGACAGCGCAGAATAGAACATTTCCTTCACTGTAGCAAGTTCTATTGGACAGCACTGGACTAGAATGATCCTAATGATTGCCCTTGTAGCTTTAACATTCTCTGAGGGTAGGGATGATTGAGGGTGGGGCCAGTGTGGGATCTGGAGGCTGGGAGTGGGCACCTGAAAGGCAGGACGTTGGAGAGGGGTGGGGAGGACAGGCTGTAGGTGTGCTGGAGTGCTCCCACTCAGAGCTTCTCACTCTGGGGTTCCCCTACTCCACACCCTAGGCAAACTGCGGCACGTGCTGAGCATGGATGGTTTCCTCAGTTACCTCTGCTCGAAGGACGGAGACATCTTCAACCCGACCTGCCTCCCCATCTACCAGGATATGACTCAGCCCCTGAGCCATTACTACATCAACTCCTCTCACAACACCTACCTAGTGGGGGACCAGCTTTGTGGCCAGAGCAGCGTCGAGGGATACATACGGTGCAGTGAGGAGGAGGGGAGAAGGGGTCCTGCTCCTGAGAAGGGACCATCTGTGGGAAATTGAGGGGCGCTGTCAGTAAATAACAGGGATTGAAAAGATGTGGGGGCTTTGGGGCTGAGGATCCCTGGATACCTGAGAGCCTTGGAGGAGCTACTGAAGAGTGGCTGAGAGTGGTATTGAAACTCTCTGGGTAAATGGAGCTTCTCTCTTTCATAGGCTACAAAACTCTCTTGGAACTCAGAGGTCCTGACAGATTTATTTTGAACAAATAAATAAACCAAATATTAAATAGAAGGCAGTAGAGCATAGGAGTTAAAAACATAGGTTCTGGAGTCAGACCATTTGAGGTCAAATCCTAGCACCCTCACTTGGCACTCTGGGGCTAAGTATTTAACCTCTCTATGCCTCAGTTTCCCCATCTGTGAAATAGGGATGATAATAGTGCCTATTCTCTCTGGGTTGTTGTGAGGATTAAAGGAGATAATCCATATGTTAATAGCTAATAAATGGTACCTGCTTTTATTGTGATTAATCATGGATTAGATCGAATAGTCAAGATATCTTTGTAGGGCCAGCAACTGAACTAGGAGCTTCAAGGGATACAAAGATGAGTGGAACATAAAGTTTCTGCCCTAGGAAGTCTAGGAGAGAAATAGTGTGAATTTCTCGAGAGTTTTAGTAATTCATGTGTTGTCTAACAATATACAGCCAGACCACTAGAAACACCATGAGGCAGTATGTGATGGCTTTCTAAGGAGAGACTGTGACTTAGGGGGTTTTGGGGTGGAGACCAGTGTGAGCTGCAGCGGTGTCCCAGTGAACAGAGAAGGGTCCATGGAGATGTGGCTTGCAGGGGTCTTGATGGGTAAGTGCCGGTGAACACTGTTCCCTCCAGAGTGGGGAGAGGGTCCCTAGGTGAAAGGTCAGACCTTGATCCCTCTTGTCCCTGCGGCGTTGGGGTTCTTGCAGGGCCCTGAAGCGGGGCTGCCGCTGCGTGGAGGTGGATATATGGGATGGACCTAGCGGGGAACCTATCGTTTACCACGGACACACCCTGACGTCCCGCATCCTGTTCAAAGATGTCGTGGGCACTGTAGCACAGTACGCCTTCCAGGTAGGAGCCCCAGGATGGGAATACTGGTGAGGCAAAAGGGAAGAGTGCTGACTCTGAGTCTGGGGAGAGTGGAGGATGCGGGGGAGGTTATGTCAAATGGCATATATGTAAAAGAGATTTTAACTGTGAAGCATCAGGCAAATATTAAGGGATTCTTGTGAAGAAGTGTTGGATGTGTTAAGAGTAATTAGTAGTCATAAAGGTAGTTGCTAGAGATAGTGACTATTACTTCTAACAACTTCTGTCACCCATCTGGGAGAGGGTGGAAACAAAGTGGTGGCTAGGGCTGGGGGACAGTAGGAATCTGGACAGGGAAGCCTGAGAGTATAACATGAACATATAACTGGAGGAGCGGCCTGGCCTTCCCACTCTGAGCCTAAGAACTCAAAGGTCCCAGAGGGACCTGGGTCAGACCCGGCACGAGACAGAGATTGGGGTCCCAAGAGTGACTTTGAGATACGAGGTGGGCCTCAGACCCAGCAAGCCCTCCTTGAGGCCTGGAATGGGGTCGGAGGAGTTTAGCAGTCAGGGTACTCAGTCGAGTGAGTAACAAGGGGGGCTGGAGAAGCAAGGAGGTTATAGGCTTTAGATCTCTGGCTCCAGCGCCCCCTCTCCTCCCCATCAGACATCAGACTATCCAGTCATCTTGTCCCTGGAGAACCACTGCAGCTGGGAGCAGCAGCAGGTCGTAGTGCACCACCTGACCGAGATCCTGGGGGAGCTGCTGCTGAGCACCACCTTGGATGGGCTGCTGCCCACTCAGCTGCCCTCGCCTGAGGTAGGGACCCTGCTTCCCAGCCCAGGCTCTACTGTGGCTTCCGTATCCCCCCACCTTGGCTCCTTCCTCCATGCCCCTCTCGTTCGCTTCTTCTCACCCTCAGAGGGACCATCTTGCTCTTTCATATCCTTGGAGACTTTAATTTAAAAAATATATAATTGAACACAAAATTCTATTTGTAGTTCTCTAAATTTTAAGTCAGTTATTTACTTTTATATTTCTTTTCCCAATGGAAGTATCTGATTTTTTTTCCTGATAGCTCATAATTGTTGCAGACTATACAAACAATATAGAGAAAGAGAAGTTCCCCCACCATAATCTCAACCTGTCCCATAACAGCTGTCAACAGATTTTTTAAATGCTTATGTAAATATATATGTATATGTATATATTCACATTATCATCCTTTATATCTCACATATAATATATATCATGGATGGCTTTTCATGTATAATTTGTTTCCTTTTTAACAGCTCTGCAGTATTCCATTTTATGTTATAGACCATAATTTATTTAATCAGTAGATGGTAAACATAACCAGAAAATGGTAAACATTTAGGTTGTTTATAATGTTTCACTTGTACATACAGCTTTGCCCGTTCACTCTTTCTTCGAGATGGATTCCTAGAAGCAAAGTTGCTGGGTTGAAGAGTTAGCATGTTGACATTTTGGTTATTATTGCCAAGTTGCCCTCTGGAAAAAATACCCACTTGCATTCCAACCAACAATTTGAGTGACCACAAATAACTCCAATAGTGAGATGATTCATAGTGGCAAAAATGAAAAAAAAAAAAAAAAAAAAGCCAAGTTTTTTAAAAAGGAAGGTCTATGTTTTCTTCTTTTGAATTGATAATATTATTTACCCACTTTTCTTAGGGTTTATAATTTTTATTGACATATAACAATTTTTTAAATGTTAAAGATATTAATGCTTTGAAAACTATTTTTTGCAGTCTATTTTTTCTTCTGTCTTTATAGCATCTTCTGCCTTAAAGAGGTTTTTAAGCTTTATGTAGTCAAATCTGCCAATCATTTTTGTCTTCCGAATTTTCAGTTTTCATTTCATGTTTCTAAAGGCTTTCCTACTTTCTCTATTTTGTTGGAACACTCTTATGTTCTTTATATTTGCATATAAATAAATCTTTAATCTGTGAGGAATCTTTACTGTCAAATGTGAGGTAGGGGTCCCCATTTTTTTCCATATGAATAGTTTGCTTAACAATAGGGAACCCCCACTGTATGTATCCAGCAGCCTTCCTGTGGGAACTTCTGAGCACTCACTCACTTCCCTCGTCTTTGAGGTGGCCCTGTGAGAGCGGTGGGACCTGCATGATCCCCAGGAGGGTCCCAGAGCAGACAGGTAGACAGGCTCCTTCATTTTTGTCCCCTAGGAGCTTCGGAGGAAGATCCTGGTGAAGGGGAAGAAGTTAAGGACACTTGAGGAGGATCTTGAGGAAGAGGACGAGGAGGAAGAGCTAGAGTCTGAACTGGAGGGGGAGCAGGAGGCTGAGCCGGAGCTTCAGGCCCAGTCTGAGTCTGAGCCCCAGGAGTTGAGCCCTCGCAGTAAAGACAAAAAGGAGAAGGTAGGCCAGGAGAGTGGCCTTTCTGCTCTGGCGTTTGGTCAGAATGTACCAGAAGTGGAGAGCTCACACGTGACGAGACTGGAGCCAGGCAGGGTGGAGGGCCAGGGAGCAAAATGCCTCAATGAAAGAGGCATAAGAATGCATACATGGCGTCACTGTGTATTGCCATATACAGATATATTGCAGTGGCTTTCCAACTTCTCTGGGCCATGAAATCTTACGTGGAAGGTCAGTATACAAAATAGATAAATGCAGAGCCATCCTACTTGAAGCACCCACTTGGCTCTCTCCTTGGTCCCCGGGGTGACTCCTGAGACATCTTTGTGCTACCTCTCAGTCGCCTTAAAGGCCAGTTTGAAAACCTCTGATGGGGTGTGTGGGTGCAGTATTATGGTATTAGGTAAGTAGAGCTTACTCGAGTGACTACTGTGACCTCAACTAAAGTGGGCTTAGTTAGAGAAAGGTTCTTGGAAAAGGTGAGTCTGAGGAGGGGCCAGAAATAGCCAAAAAGGAGCAGGAAGAGTTGGGGAAGAGGAAGGCTCTGAGAAGGCTGTGTCAAAGTGGTCCATCTCCCTGTGGGGAAGGGGTGCCATTGGTGGGACCACCAAGATCCTGGTTTGAAGTCTGTCTCTCTCTCTTGTGCACTTGCTTGGCTCAGCTGACTGACTTTTAGCTTATCCTGCTCTCTCTGGGGCTGTGGTGCCTAACCTGCTGCCATGTCTAGGGATGGAAATGGGAATTTAGGAGACAAATCTATAAAGATATTACTCTGGGACCCTCACATCCTTCCAGGTGTGACTTCCATGACCATTTGCATATCTGTCTGGGTTCATGCACATTTTGACCAAAAATTATTGTTAATTTGTTTTCAAAGACAAGAGGTAGGGAGGATGACACCTCTCTGTTTAAAAATAATAATAAATTAAAAACCTGTTACCTAGAAAGGAACATAGAGCAGACCCTTCAAGCCCAGAGGCTGAAACTGACCCCATCAATATACAGACTGCCTTTATTCCCGTTCCCACCCCCAGGTTGTGATGTGCCCGCTGTTTTGTCCACCTCCTTGTTGTCAGATTATGGTCCAGGCTCCTATTCCCAAGCCTGGGTTCCTTCTCTTTCCCAAGCAGGTGAGGCAGGATGGAGAGAGCAGCGGGGAGGCCGTGGGCAGAGGCTTATTAGGTTGGGTGGGGAAGTTCAGATCTTGGCCACTGGCTTCTTCGCTCTCAGATCGCTGAGGGTTCAATTCCATCTTCCTCTCTACTTTCTCCTTTTCCAGAAATCCAAGCCCATCTTGTGTCCATCTCTCTCTGCCCTGGTTGTCTACTTGAAGTCTGTCTCATTCCACAGCTTCGCTCATTCGAGGGACAACTACCACTTCTATGAGATCTCGTCTTTCTCTGAAACCAAGGCCAAGAGCCTCATCAGAGAGGCTGGTCAGGACCAGAAGGGAGGGACAGGGGGGACCTGGGATGGGTAGGGCCAGTCTGAAGGGCAGGCAGATGAGTCCCGAGACAGAGGACAAGGGAGCTAAGGAGGGATGAGGGAGCTAAGAAACTCCTGAGCAGGCACATGGACTGGAGTTATGAATAATGGGCTCAAGACTCGAGGGGGCAGAGAGCTGGGGGAGGTAGTCTGGATGGAACGGAGTAGAGAGGCACAGTGAAGCTTTCTGGAGCCAGCCTCGGGAGATGCTGGGGAGAAGAGGGACGTGGCGGGGAGGGTCCTTGGGACCAGGGAAGTGGGAGGACGCAGCACTTCATCTCCCTACCCACACCCTTTTCACAGGCAACGAGTTTGTGCAGCACAACACCTGGCAGTTAAGCCGTGTATATCCCAGTGGCCTGAGGACAGATTCGTCCAACTACAACCCCCAGGAACTCTGGAATGCAGGCTGCCAGATGGGTGAGGGGCAGGAGGGGCAGGGAAGAGGGGGAGGAAGAGCAATAGCCAGGACGTAAGTCCCCGGGTGGCAGTAGGGCCAGGGAATGCTCCAAGAAGAGTGCCGGGCCGAGAAAGATGCTCTCTGTGAAGTTCCCAGCAGGCCTTTTACACCAATATGTCTTCTTCACTCCCTGGGAGGGGCTAGTGGGTCCCAAGGTGACTCCTTCCCCCCTTTTCTCCTGGGCCCCTCAGTGGCTATGAACGTGCAGACTGCGGGGCTTGAGATGGACATCTGTGATGGGCTCTTCCGCCAGAACGGTGGCTGTGGCTACGTGCTGAAGCCCGACTTCCTGCGTGACGCCCAGAGTTCCTTCGACCCTGAGAGGCCCGTCAGCCCTGTCACAGCCCAGACCCTCCTAATCCAGGTATAATGGAAAGAGAAACTGTTGGGAAGAAACTGCGATAGCTAGGGTAGAAGCAGGGGGAAGAGGTGGCTAGGCCTGACAGGAGTGTGATGGGTGGAAGGTTCCCAGTGAGAGGCAGGGCAGCCTGATGTTAACAGCATGGACTTCGGAGCCAGTTGCCTAGGTTCAAACCCATTTACTAGTTGTGTAATGCTGGCAAAATTCCTTAACGTGAGTTTCCTCACCTGCAACATGGGGGAATAATACTCCCTACCCCACAGAGTTGTGAGCAGTTAATATGAAGTGCTTACAACAATGCCTGGTGCATAGTAAGTGCTATAGAAGGGGCTGCTGTCATTAACGTACCTTCTCTCCAACCTCCTTAAATTTCTACTTGGGTACATTTTAGATTGTATATAGATTACTAGAAGAAAACATATTACCCATGGAGGATTAGCTTTTGCAAACCCAAAAGATACAGCGCAAGGTCCTGTGTCTCCCCTTCCCCTCATCCTCCCCTGCTCCCCCGGGGTGAGAGCTGGAGCGGGGCTGGGCTGAGCAGGAACTAGTGAGGTTCCAGAGCCCTGGTTGCAGGTGATCAGTGGTCAGCAACTCCCCAAAGTGAAGACCAAAGAGGGCTCCATTGTGGACCCACTGGTGAGAGTGGAGATCTTCGGCATCCGCCCAGACACAGCCCGCCAAGAGACCAGCTACGTGGAGAACAACGGTGAGACTGGGCAGTGCTGGGGGAGGGGGAGGAGCACCACTGTTTCCCTACCATCCTGCCCTGCCTCAAGTGCAGTCCATGCCACCACTCCCTCTCCCCCCACCTCCATGGGAGGCAGTGTGGGACAGGACAAAGGATAAGGGCTTGGATGTCTTGGATCTGAATCCCGGCCCTCACTTACAAGCTCCAGTGACTGGGGCAAATTGCTCACCCGCTCTGAGCCTCAATTTCCTCACCTATAAAATGCTGATTGATTGCTATGAAAATTAAGTGAGAACACAGGGAAAACAACTTAGCATGGGCCTAGAGAAAAGTCAACACCGTCTGTTCCTCCATTCCCTCCCTCATTCACTCTCCCCTCCACCCCCCCAGGTTTTAATCCATACTGGGGGCAGACACTCTGCTTCCGGGTCCTGGTGCCTGAACTGGCCCTGCTGCGTTTTGTGGTGAGGGATTATGACTGGAAATCCCGACACGACTTTATTGGTCAGTACACCCTGCCATGGACCTGCATGCAACAAGGTGAGCCAGTCCCTGGACCCCTGGCCAAGACCCCAGCCCTGGCTGCCTTCCTAATGCTGTCCTCCTGCCCCTTTCCAGGTTACCGCCACATACACCTGCTCTCCAAGGACGGCACCAGCCTCCAACCGGCTTCCATCTTCGTGCACATCTGCATCCGGGAAGGGCTGGAGGGGGATGAATCCTGAGGTGGGCACTTCATGGGAAGGGTGGGTGCACTGGCTTTAGATGGTAAGAAAAACCTGGAAGGATGCTCCAGAAAGCAAACAGAGGTGGTGAAAACCAAGCTTTGGACTGTGCATTCCTCGGCACAAAATTATCTCCCCTTTCCTAACAAGCAAACCTAGGACCTGATTGTTCACCTTCTTTCTCTTCCATTCCTTCATTTTCACCAGTCTTTGGTATCCTTCCTGCCCTTTTCCTTTGTGTACTCTATACTGGAGTTCCTTCAGTCCTCTTGCTTTAGGCTCAATCCCATACCCAGATTTAGGACTGATCTCTCCCATCAGCTCTGGCTCAAAGGCAGGCTGCAACTAGAAATCCAGAGGGGCTTAGGGCAGAGAAACCCACAGGGGAATTATCCCCTCCACCCCTCACTTCCTTCAAGTTCAGAGCCATGGAAGGATAGATCTAGCCTCGACTCCTCAGGCAAAGGCTGAAGAAGACCTGACCCCAGGACTGTACTGACTCTCAAGAGAACACCATATAGCCCCCAGATCCCCAAATGGACTGCTCCTCCCTAGCCCCCCAGTATAAACAGAGCTTCTCTACCCAACTTGGCTTGAGTATGGTCTGTCATTGTTGGGCAAGAAGGGGAGGTGTGAGGGCTGGGGGACATTTGGGTAGACAGGTGGGGTAGAAAAACAAGAGCTTTCCAGCTCCCCCTGACCGCGTGTGCTACAAGGGAAAGGTACAGAAGTGTGGCTTCTAAGGGGTGGGGCAAAAGGAGTCAAAGGGTCATGCGGTCCTAGTCCTCCTCAACAGTTTGCCTGGAACAGTTCTGGGTCATGTCTGCTGTCCCAGTATAATTCCTAATAGTACCCTCTTTAATTTTCCCAGTGTGTCCCAGTGTAGATGATTAATTACACTGTCATTGTGAGGCACTCATAGAATTCTGGCTTAGAGATTTACCTCCCCAGTCACGTGCCTTTCACACTGTTCTTGTGCTTTCACTCGAGTGCAGCTGCTGAGCCAGGCTGAGGACTGATGCTGAATTACAGCTGCTTCCAGGAGGATGCTTAGTGGGTGGCAATCCTCCCTCTATAGGCAGACAAAGGGGGCTCGGAAACAGGGAGCAGGCGAGGGCCAGGACAGGCTCAAGGCCAGAGAGAAGGCAGACCTGGGCCTGTTTCAGAATCAGTCACTTGGTGAAGGTGGAAGGAGACAAAAGAGAGGCAGAAGTCTGAGACGGGATGGGGCAGATTGAGATGACACCTGGGAATGTTAAGACAGGGGCTTGGAGGAGTCTATAAGCTAGTAATCATTCGTTTAACATGCTTTATAGAGCATTAGGCACAACAGCACATGCGGATAGATACAACCGTTTGGAGGATGCTGAAAGAAAACAGGACTCGACATAGTAAGAAGGAAAGAGAAGATGGAATGGGTAAAACTAAGACCTTATAGCCAGGGACTTTGGTGGAGTGATGGTGAAGAAATTAGGAACTCACAGGTTAAAACACAGTGTGCCTCAACAAGAAAACAATTTGTGGTCCGTGTCTCTCTTTTTATGTAGCCGTCAACTTCGAAGTGCTATAGCCAGAGTCCCAAGAAGGTTCCAGCCCCTCGGACACCCCAGAGTCAGCCCTTCCGTAGGCCCTGAGCTCCTCAGGCTGGCTCTGGTTCCAGTGTGTACCTTGGACCACACCCTCTTCTCGTCTGGGAGGTGGGGTAGGCTCTCAGCCCTCAGGTCCAGTTGGGGGAGCAGCAGGAGCAGGAGGGCTGGGGTCCTCCAACTGCACGTCATGCAGGTGCACTGTGGGTGTAGTGGGGTCTTTGCCCACGCCTTGGTTTGGGTCAGCCTGGTCGGGGTGGTGCCTGCGCACATGCTTGACCACCTGGAATTTCTGCTTGGCCTTGTAGCTGCAGAGGCGGCAGAAGAAGGGGTGGCGGTCAGTGTGGGTGAGGGCGTGATGGCGCAGGCCGGCAGCCCAGCGGAAAGCACGGTGGCACACATTGCACACGTAAGGTTTGGCCTCGCTGTGCTTGCGGAGGTGGGTGCGTAGCAGGAAGCGCGTCTTGAAGGCCTTGCCACACTGCTCACACATGAAGGCCCGTGCTTCCCGATGCCGTGTCTCCTGATGCACGCGCAGTGCGTCAGCTCGGTTGGTGCAGTACTCACACTCGGGACACTGGTATGGCTTCAGTCCTGGAGGACAGGGCAAGGACAGGGAACAAATCACCACTGAAGGGGGTGGAACAAGGTTCAGTGGACCATAAGAGTCATTGTGATTCTGGGGCATAAAAAACACAAGCAGCAAGCTGACTAATGACCTTATCTTTGGAATGTTCCATTCCTGTCTGACATTTCTGTGCCCTTCTCCCAACACAACCCTTGTATACAGTGGGTGCTCAATGGATGCTGCTAACTAACTGGACCCCTAAGTAGCCACCTGGTAGCAATGAATCCTTAAATATGACAGGATTTCCACATAGGGAATTCAAACCCCTGTTGGTCACGGGGTACTTGAAATTTGGGAATCCATTTAAATACAACTCCTTGTTCAACTCAAGAAGTAAAAGAAGATGCTTGAGGGAAGATGTAGAGGCAAAAGAAGCGGCATTCACAGATGCAGAAGGCCCTGAAATGCATCTGGTCAATCCTTTACTGGGGGGACCAGAGGCGATAATCACAGACACACGATCATCAACCCTTTCCTGAGAACCCATAGGTCGTGGACCCCACGCCCAAGAGAAAAAAAGGACAAGTTAAAACAGGTGAACCCTCCACTTTCTCCTCCTTACTCCTGATAGTTGCATCATGTCTGTGTAGGAACCAGACAGACCTGCTAGTCACTCACGTTTGAGTTGGGGGGTTCTCAATGGGAGATGGGTGACTTTGTGCCACAATTGCCCAGGAAGTTTTTGCAATGAACACGTGGCCAGACCCTCAGGTTCACCTCTCTTCTGATTCTGATAGGTCTTCAGTGGGGTGGGAAGCTATTCTGGCCAGTCAGCCCACCCACTGCCTTCAGTGTGAAAACCGAGGTGCACCCTGAATCTGAGTCAGCACCGACAGCACCTCAGAGAGACTGGGTGTGCCAGGGAACAGGGGGATCCCTTGGGCCTGTCAGAACCACGCAGACTCACCTGTGTGCTTGGTCATGTGGTACTTGAGCTGGTTGACCCACTTGCACTTGTAGCCACAGTCGGGACACAGATACTTCCGTTCCTCCTTGTGGATCCGCATGTGGTACTGCAGGAGGGAATAGCAAAGAGTATCCCCAGAAAACAGGCACCCCTTGCTACTCACTGGATGTGGAAATAGGGCAAGTAGGCAGAGAAACATTGGCAGATAATCCCATTCACTGCTCCGATCCTATCCATACTCCTGTTACCAGGCAGGTCCCCCAGTCTGGTCACTTTGACACAAACCTAACCCATTTGGCCTACCCCTATGTTTGCCCTGACTATCTCAGCTCTGCTACATATTAGCTGTGTCTATGGATGACTTCTCAGTTTATTAATCCGTAAAATGGGAAGTAGTAAAAGTAACTATATCTCATATTTTTGAAAAGATTAAAATTACAGTGCCCAGCATACAGTAAGTGCTCAATAAATGTTAGCTGTTGTTATCATCCAGATTATATCCCAAACATATTACATGCTTTATCACATGCCAAGCATATATTATGGAATTTTATCTTCGCAACAACCCTGTGAAGTATTATCCTTTTTTTACAGATGAGGAATCTGAGGCTTGGAGAAGTTAAGGAACTTGACTAAGGTCACAGAGCTAATCTTTGGAAGAGTCAGGATTAGAGAGCCCGAGGCAGTCTAACTCCACAGCCTGCACTCCTTCCATCCCCGGCCCCCACAGCCCTGACCTTACCTTGAGGCGAGAGGGGTCAGCACAGGCGTAGGGGCAGAGGTGACAGCGGTAGGGCTTCTCCCCGGTGTGGATGCGGCTGTGCCAGGTGATCTTCTGCCGGTTCTTGGTGCTGTAAGCACAGTCGGTGCACTTGTAGAGCCGGGTGCCCCCGTGCCCTTTCACATGGTGATCTAGCACCAGCTGATGGCGGCATGCAAATTCACAAAAGGGGCAGCGCAGAGGCGGCTGGCCAGCATCGCCATCCCCGTCTGAGGCTGCTGCCGCCGCTGAGGTCTCCTCGTGCTGCTCCAAGTAGTGCTTCACCAGGCCCACCCGCTCCCGGGCAGCAAAGTCACAGAGCTGGCAGCGGTGGCTGAAATGCTGCTGCCTCCGGTGCTCATCCAGCGCTGGCCGGCTGGGGAAGGCCTCCTGGCAGGCCCCACACTCGAGCCGTGGGTGCTGTTTACGGGTGTGTCCCCGCAGGCTGGCAGGGCTGGGGCACAGCAGCCCACAACGGGAGCAGTGCAGGGGGCCCTCAGTGGCCTCTGCGGGAGAGCCCGGGACTGGGGGTGTCGGCTCAGGATGCCGGCGCAGAGCATGCTGCTTGAGTGCTGTCTCCGAGCTGAACTGGGCCTCACACTGGGGGCAGGCAAAGGCTGGGGTGCCCTGGTGGCAGCTGTTGACATGGCGAGTGATGTCGTGGCGAAGGTAGCCGCTGTAGTCACAGAGTGGACAGAAGTGGGTGGGTGTCTTGTCGTGTACCCTCAGCCGGTGCAAGCGCAGTTTTGAGTTGGTACCAAATGTCTGGGGACAGGAGCTGCAGGGGATGCGGCCGACACCTGTGTGTCGGGACTGGTGAGCCTCCAATCGGTACCGTCTGGTGGTGGAAAAGTCACAGAAAGGGCACTGATGCGGCTTCACGCCCTCGTGCTTGAGCCGCCGGTGCTGCTGTAGGCACCGGCTCTGTTTGCAGGTGAAGCCACAGTCCGCACACTGAAGAGGGGGCCGGGGGCCGCGGGCTGGGGCTATAGTGGGGTGCCTCCGCTTCTGGTGCAGCCTCAAGGCAGCAGCAGCAGGAGTGGTGAATGGGCAGAGGCCACAGTGCAGCTCTCCAGGCTGCTCAAGGGGGCATCCCCGGGTCTGGTGAGTCCTCAGAGCCCGCTCCTGCTGGCAGCTAAAGGGACATGTGGGGCAGGAGAAGCGAGCACCCTTCTGCTTTGGAACCAGAGCTGTGTCCCCATCACCAGGGCTGCACGCTGTACGCCCATTGCTTAGGGGAGCGGAGTCCCCATTGCTCAGCGGGGACACAACAGGCTGGGTCCGGCAGGCCCCTCGCTTTCCTCCCCCACCACGTCCCCCGCGGCAGCCTTCTGCCACATGGGAGGTAATGGAGGAGAGCCGAGAACAGAGGAACGGGCATGAGTTGCAGTGAAACTTGCCCTGCTCAAAGTGGAACTTCTCAGGGGTCTCTGTGGATGAGCAGTTTCCTGCAGGAGGGACGGCCGAGCCAGAGAGTGTGGCCAGGGGCTCCTCTATTTCTTCTGGCTCCCTAGGAAGCTCAGAAGAAGCATCTTTGGGGAGCGCCAGCTCTACTTCTAATGGTGCAGGTAGGAGCTTCCCACCTTCTGCATCCTCTGAGGCCTGGGTGCCCGGGGGCAGAGGATGCAGAGGGATGGGTGAATCTGGTCTGGGCAAACCCTTGTTCTTTCTGAGCAGAACAGGGCACTTCTTCAGCAGGTGGGTGC